TGACGATTCTTCATTGCTCTATTAACTCAGGTACATTGATTGCGCCAAGCAAGCCAATGTTCCCGCTCGCTGTTTTCTTTTTGACGTTTCCTTTGAACATGCTCTGCATAATAATAAGGTCAGTGAATATCTTAGTAGGCCCTATGTATATGAATAGGCGGAAACTCTTGCTATTACGGACATTTACTTACGGTTAGGAGGGAGTTCTAAACAACGGGTGTTTACGGTGTCCTGCACTGATAGAGAATATTGTTTTGCATGAACATGAACAATCATTGGGTGGCTTCTTAAGCGGGGACGGTTTCCTGAATATGCCACTATTTCCAAGAGATCTCATTTAAATATACCGTCACTATGCAGGAGTACACCTTTACCTTGGAAGCGGGATGTAAGGTATGCCCGTACAGAAATTAAACAACATAACGTAACTGACTGACTACTATAATTTATCTTGTTCCCCCCATACTATTCCTCCTCAGGTATGTGATAAGTTTTGGGATCATTACACGTTTCTGGGAACTGCCCGCCCACCCCTTCCTTAAGCCATCATTAACACTTACTTCTCACTTAGGGCAAAATGTTGGCTTAGGGGAGGGGTAGGTGGACAGTTTCCCAGAGAGGTATAATTTTGCATTTATACCTTTTCATGTAATATGTCATGAACGATGGATTCGTGCTTGATCACGGGGTCCAAGCATCGAGAAACAGATAAAAGCAGAGGCCAGAGGCTGAGCGCTTTCGTCTTTTTCGAGGTGTTTGGAACCCGTGACGAAGCACGAAGTCCGATTTTTTGACATGTCATCTCAAATGAAACAATAAAAATGCAAAAGCAAGTGTTTGATCTCAAGAAAAACATGTTTCATCGCAGATGAAAATCTGGTGGAGTTTTATGGGCGTTATTACCTTTACTTCATTTACCGAACACAGATGACGTAACACAAACGAACAAAAACCATGAAACAATGCCCAACAGAGCGTTATCTGTGTCCCGTACAAGACGTTTTGACTGTCGGTTTTATCTGGTGTTTCATTAGGTATCAAGATTCATCCACCTGACCCAAATAGTCGTCATTTCTTGGCTTTTGACTGCATGAATAATTGACGAGTGTGAGAACTCTTAAGGAACCTTTTTTTTGTTGTCATCTTTTATAGATTCGCGAAATAACGAATAAGGACAGCACGTATAAGCATGTTGGACACTTGGCGTTTGTGAAATATAAGTAAGTAAATGTGGGTTTGGCCGAAGTATCGGAGAAGAAATAACACTTGTAATGATTTGGGTTGCTATACGAAAACATTTGCAGTCAAACCTCGTTAATACGGAAACTGAGGGGCCAAAGAAAGTGTGTGTATTAACTAGGTGTCCGTATTAAGCAGGTTAAATGTAGAGAAAAACTTAAGGGCTTTCTTTCCCCAGGGACATGGCAAACTGTCGACTGTATTTTCCTTTTAATGCTCAGCAACCACTGTGACCACGTACTTTTGCAACATTCTTTCGTTCCTGTATCTAAAAAAAGCGACGGCCTGGCCGTAAGGAACCACTGGTTAAGACCACAAAGTGACTTATGTTTTGCAGATGTTATCTAGATTTTAGATAGCTATTTCTTGTAAAGATGACTCAAATATAATCCTGTTTTTCAACCCACTGCTTGAAATTATGATTCAGGAATAACATAAAAAGCATGGGGGAGGGGCAAATACCAAAATAAACCGCGTGTAAAAACCTGCATTTTGTGAAGTTCGGCAAACTGAATAGGTTCTTGTATTTTGAGTTAGTTGTTGTCAATTTAGCCTAGGTAGGTTCTAAATTAGGTACTTAAATTTTGTGAAGGAGTTATAGTAGTTTACTACACGAAAAGTATATATACTTGAGTTTGGACCTTAAATATAAGGTATGATGTATTCACAGCTCTATCATGATAAGCCTGGCAAAACTGATTACAGGATTTATACGTACTGTTATCTCGGTAACAAGAGTTGCTATATAATAAAGAGATAGTTAACAAGCAAATAAATAAACAAACAACTGTCTAGAAAGACGTCTTAGCGCTTGAAGTCAAACTATAACCCACATGTCCAAACGTGTTTGATCTAGCTTGAGTATTAAAATGACAAGGTTTTACTGTGTTAAACACATGTACAGCACGTATTTTGTGCACCTTAATCAAGGGAAGATTTTTTCCTTTGCATTCTTCGTCGTCTTTCAGCATCATCTAACAAGGTTTCCCAGGCAATTACAATTTGAGTATTAAATTCGCATTTATTCATCTGTCGCTTGTATTAATGTGTTCTTCCCTACCACATTTTGACAGATCTTCATATGAGGAGCCAAGTTATGAAGAAGGCTTTGAAGAAATTGTTAAAGTGAACTTTGTACCAAAGTTCAAAGACGATTGCATCAAAGAATTGTACATGCAGTTCCTTTACTGACTGTTGCTCGAACGAAATGAAGTAAAGATCAGCACTAAAAAGTCGCACCATGTAAGGTCATCCGGATTCCGGATTGTGGGATCCGGAATCCTAAGCTTTGCAATCCGTAATCCAGTTAACGATTGGAATCCAGAATTTACTGGGTTCTGGAATCCACAGCGTGAATTTCAGGATCCAAGGCTGTCTCGGATTGCCTCGCATGGGTTGAAAAACGAAACTTTGCGGCTACTCGGTTTTGTTCTGAGTTTAGATTATTGACTATATATGTTTCGATTTTCACCTTGCCTTAGTAACTAAGGTAAGAGGATATATCTCCAACGTTGTATCCCTGCGGAACGGTATTTTGTTGAGAACAAGTTCAGTGTACGTTAAATGTAAATTATGAAAAATAATATTTGTTCAGCATTTTCATTAAACTAAACCTGTCCTCTTTTCAAGCGTAATTGTGCGACGTTCACTCCTTGTCATAGAAATTGAATCGGCCCTTTGAATGTTGTTTTCCGCGGGAGCCATAGTAGGGACTAGCTCGTTTCATTAAGTCATGTTTTTGATTGATGACTAAAACTAGTGGTTACCTTGACGAACCTTGACCCGGGCGGAATTAATCTCGGTCTGTATGACTTACCGTACGGACCTCGAACTCGATAAATAATTGCGACCAAACCCACAAATTTAATTGGTTTCCACATCATTTCCGAAAACAATCATGATGACTTCCTTTACGTAACATTTTACAAAAGTAACATACTTCCTTTATTTTATCTTGAGCGGTTATAATTCAAAGGACCCAAAGGAGCGCTTAGCCATTGCAATTTTTGTCATCGAATTTTTGGACTGCTACCCATAACAACTTTTGGCAAAGTTTTAAAAATACGTGACGAGTGCCACACACCTTTTATGTGATTATTAGGACTGTCTTAAAAAGTTAACCATAATTCCGTTATTTTTTACATCTTTCTAATTTTAAATTAAACGATAATCGTTTTATCGTTTGTTTGTACTTGTGTGGTATCTCGCCATGTCTAGCGTATATCTACAAAGATCTACAAAAATGCACGCGAATCATCGCCCTTGAAAGACACGCCGTGTAATATTCTTAACATGGCCATGGTACCTCGTCAATTGTGGCAAGCTATTAAGTGTAAACTCCTTCAAATAATCAATATATTGCAGATGGTTTCCTATGATCTCTGGGCACGGAACTGAAAAATTGTTTGCCATGGCATTTGAAATCCTAGGGCCTGCCCACCCATGACACGTATGACTAGTCAATCACTCCCAGCAAGCTCTGCTAGTACTGTTATGATTATAAGTCACAGCATTGATTTGGCTGGGCCAGCCCACAGAAAAAATTCCTTGACTTATTGCGCTGCTCTCTGACTTTAAACTCTAATCAAAGTGACAAAATCTCCCCTCTTTACCCCCCTACGTTTGACACAAAAACGCCAGGCAACCACCCACAGTTGTTATAGGTCTGGGCCTGGGCCCTCTGCTGACAACTAGCAAGACGCCAAGCCCCCTTGTTTTTTTCCGGCTACACTGGCTTGAACGATACCCGTCGTTAAGCGAAAATCGCCAGTGTTCAAGCAAAAACTTAGCTGCACCCTTTAGCAAAATCACACGGATATATATTTACCAACTTAGTCAAGTAAAGTGTTGGGGGGGGGGGGGGGAAGTGCCAAAGTGAAGGCATAATTGGTAAAAAATGAACCCTCAACGAATACCGTTTTTGACATGCGCACAGGGTATGTAACAAACCTGATGTTAACCTAACCAAGCTTACTTTGTCTTAGATTGTCGATGTAAGGGGGTACGTAGGGGGTTGCGTTGTTGTCATTATTAACAAGTGGGTAAATAGTAGGGCTAACTAGCAGATGTATGTATTGTAGAAAATACGTAATTTGAGGTCCCTGTAAAGGAGGATTACATTTTTTTACTTCGTAGGATAGTCTGGGGACATGGCAGAAATGTGTGTCGGCCTGTAAAGATGCATTGTCACGGGGCAAAAGTGTCGTAGTCGACAACACCAGCCCAACAAAGGAAGTCAGGAAAAGGTATAGAAGAACATTACACACTTAATGTCAGGTCGCAAGGGAAACAGATCGTTTTGTTTCCCGAGACGGGACTGTCAGGAAAACAATACTAACTGGTTTCCCTATCAGTTCTTGTTCCATAGACGGGTTAAGTATAGATGCTTTAGTCATAAGTCTTTTCAGTCATACCAAAGGTACCACAGGAAAGTCCGACTACTTTGAACACCAAGCCCCAATTGTCAAAAGATGGATACTGCTATCCTCCCGGATAAATCACTAGCCGCTGCCTAATGCAATATTGGTGTCCTTTAACATTTATCCTCTGGATAGTGTGATTTATTTACTTGAGGCAGGAACCGGTTCGAGAGGTGCCAAAAGCACTGTTCTGAAATTCGATGTCGTAGGCAACAGGTCACTTTGAAAAGTAGTTTTATCTTAACGTTCTATTCAATACCTAGAGTTGATCATTTATTTCAGACAGTTCTTTAATACACTGCTTTTATATGTGACGATTCTTCATTGCTCTATTAACTCAGGTACATTGATTGCGCCAAGCAAGCCAATGTTCCCGCTCGCTGTTTTCTTTTTGACGTTTCCTTTGAACATGCTCTGCATAATAATAAGGTCAGTGAATATCTTAGTAGGCCCTATGTATATGAATAGGCGGAAACTCTTGCTATTACGGACATTTACTTACGGTTAGGAGGGAGTTCTAAACAACGGGTGTTTACGGTGTCCTGCACTGATAGAGAATATTGTTTTGCATGAACATGAACAATCATTGGGTGGCTTCTTAAGCGGGGACGGTTTCCTGAATATGCCACTATTTCCAAGAGATCTCATTTAAATATACCGTCACTATGCAGGAGTACACCTTTACCTTGGAAGCGGGATGTAAGGTATGCCCGTACAGAAATTAAACAACATAACGTAACTGACTGACTACTATAATTTATCTTGTTCCCCCCATACTATTCCTCCTCAGGTATGTGATAAGTTTTGGGATCATTACACGTTTCTGGGAACTGCCCGCCCACCCCTTCCTTAAGCCATCATTAACACTTACTTCTCACTTAGGGCAAAATGTTGGCTTAGGGGAGGGGTAGGTGGACAGTTTCCCAGAGAGGTATAATTTTGCATTTATACCTTTTCATGTAATATGTCATGAACGATGGATTCGTGCTTGATCACGGGGTCCAAGCATCGAGAAACAGATAAAAGCAGAGGCCAGAGGCTGAGCGCTTTCGTCTTTTTCGAGGTGTTTGGAACCCGTGACGAAGCACGAAGTCCGATTTTTTGACATGTCATCTCAAATGAAACAATAAAAATGCAAAAGCAAGTGTTTGATCTCAAGAAAAACATGTTTCATCGCAGATGAAAATCTGGTGGAGTTTTATGGGCGTTATTACCTTTACTTCATTTACCGAACACAGATGACGTAACACAAACGAACAAAAACCATGAAACAATGCCCAACAGAGCGTTATCTGTGTCCCGTACAAGACGTTTTGACTGTCGGTTTTATCTGGTGTTTCATTAGGTATCAAGATTCATCCACCTGACCCAAATAGTCGTCATTTCTTGGCTTTTGACTGCATGAATAATTGACGAGTGTGAGAACTCTTAAGGAACCTTTTTTTTGTTGTCATCTTTTATAGATTCGCGAAATAACGAATAAGGACAGCACGTATAAGCATGTTGGACACTTGGCGTTTGTGAAATATAAGTAAGTAAATGTGGGTTTGGCCGAAGTATCGGAGAAGAAATAACACTTGTAATGATTTGGGTTGCTATACGAAAACATTTGCAGTCAAACCTCGTTAATACGGAAACTGAGGGGCCAAAGAAAGTGTGTGTATTAACTAGGTGTCCGTATTAAGCAGGTTAAATGTAGAGAAAAACTTAAGGGCTTTCTTTCCCCAGGGACATGGCAAACTGTCGACTGTATTTTCCTTTTAATGCTCAGCAACCACTGTGACCACGTACTTTTGCAACATTCTTTCGTTCCTGTATCTAAAAAAAGCGACGGCCTGGCCGTAAGGAACCACTGGTTAAGACCACAAAGTGACTTATGTTTTGCAGATGTTATCTAGATTTTAGATAGCTATTTCTTGTAAAGATGACTCAAATATAATCCTGTTTTTCAACCCACTGCTTGAAATTATGATTCAGGAATAACATAAAAAGCATGGGGGAGGGGCAAATACCAAAATAAACCGCGTGTAAAAACCTGCATTTTGTGAAGTTCGGCAAACTGAATAGGTTCTTGTATTTTGAGTTAGTTGTTGTCAATTTAGCCTAGGTAGGTTCTAAATTAGGTACTTAAATTTTGTGAAGGAGTTATAGTAGTTTACTACACGAAAAGTATATATACTTGAGTTTGGACCTTAAATATAAGGTATGATGTATTCACAGCTCTATCATGATAAGCCTGGCAAAACTGATTACAGGATTTATACGTACTGTTATCTCGGTAACAAGAGTTGCTATATAATAAAGAGATAGTTAACAAGCAAATAAATAAACAAACAACTGTCTAGAAAGACGTCTTAGCGCTTGAAGTCAAACTATAACCCACATGTCCAAACGTGTTTGATCTAGCTTGAGTATTAAAATGACAAGGTTTTACTGTGTTAAACACATGTACAGCACGTATTTTGTGCACCTTAATCAAGGGAAGATTTTTTCCTTTGCATTCTTCGTCGTCTTTCAGCATCATCTAACAAGGTTTCCCAGGCAATTACAATTTGAGTATTAAATTCGCATTTATTCATCTGTCGCTTGTATTAATGTGTTCTTCCCTACCACATTTTGACAGATCTTCATATGAGGAGCCAAGTTATGAAGAAGGCTTTGAAGAAATTGTTAAAGTGAACTTTGTACCAAAGTTCAAAGACGATTGCATCAAAGAATTATACATGCAGTTCCTTTACTGACTGTTGCTCGAACGAAATGAAGTAAAGATCAGCACTAAAAAGTCGCACCATGTAAGGTCATCCGGATTCCGGATTGTGGGATCCGGAATCCTAAGCTTTGCAATCCGTAATCCAGTTAACGATTGGAATCCAGAATTTACTGGGTTCTGGAATCCACAGCGTGAATTTCAGGATCTAAGGCTGTCTCGGATTGCCTCGCATGGGTTGAAAAACGAAGCTTTGCGGCTACTCGGTTTTGTTTTGAGTTTAGATTATTGACTATATATGTTTCGATTTTCACCTTGCCTTCGTAACTAAGGTAAGAGAATATATCTCCAACGTTGTATCCCTGCGGAACGGTATTTTGTTGAGAACAAGTTCAGTGTACGTTAAATGTAAATTATGAAAAATAATATTTGTTCAGCATTTTCATTAAACTAAACCTGTCCTCTTTTCAAGCGTAATTGTGCGACGTTCACTCCTTGTCATAGAAATTGAATCGGCCCTTTGAATGTTGTTTTCCGCGGGAGCCATAGTAGGGACTAGCTCGTTTCATTAAGTCATGTTTTTGATTGATGACTAAAACTAGTGGTTACCTTGACGAACCTTGACCCGGGCGGAATTAATCTCGGTCTGTATGACTTACCGTACGGACCTCGAACTCGATAAATAATTGCGACCAAACCCACAAATTTAATTGGTTTCCACATCATTTCCGAAAACAATCATGATGACTTCCTTTACGTAACATTTTACAAAAGTAACATACTTCCTTTATTTTATCTTGAGCGGTTATAATTCAAAGGACCCAAAGGAGTGCTTAGCCATTGCAATTTTTGTTATCGAATTTTTGGACTGCTACCCATAACAACTGTTGGCAAAGTTTTAAAAATACGTGAGAAGTGCCACACACCTTTTATGTGATTATTAGGACTGTCTTAAAAAGATAACCATAATTCCGTTATTTTTTACATCTTTCTAATTTTAAATTAAACGATAATCGTTTTATCGTTTGTTTGTACTTGTGTGGTATCTCGCCATGTCTAGCGTATATCTACAAAGATCTACAAAAATGCACGCGAATCATCGCCCTTGAAAGACACGCCGTGTAATATTCTTAACATGGCCATGGTACCTCGTCAATTGTGGCAAGCTATTAAGTGTAAACTCCTTCAAATAATCAATATGCCTTTCTCAGCTTAGGGGTGAGTATCTTGACTGGAAGTAAAGGCGTTTCAGTGTTGTGTCTCCTTCGACACATAAGCCTTCGGTGACGGACATTCCGTCAGTTTCTTTCATTTGATAAAACCCCCGATCTCCTCGCTTGTTTCTGTTTAATGTCCCGCGAACATTGACGGATACTTAGATAGTTCACAGTTTTGGATAAATTAAAACTGTTTAAAATTGTTTGTTTGTTTGTTAAAAGTACAGGTGTGGCCAGGCTGCCCTCCACTATGAAAGGCGTAATTTAGGATTTTTGATTCGGCTCTACGAGCATTTTGGTAGCATTTGACTCCTAGGTTGACTGAGTCGCGTCCTCGGGCTCTTTGATGGTTAATCCTCTAAGAGATTTTAAGGCGCTTATCCGTCTGAGTTACTGACAAAACTAGGTAATTCAATGGATTTCGAAGGTTTTTGCAAAGTATCCGCAGCCGAACCCTTGGGCAAAGTATCCGTAGTTGAACTCTATAGCTACACTCAACCACAACATATTTCGGTACACTGAAAAGCGTGGCTATGTTGTACATCTTTGTCAGAGTCTATTGGTTAATCAAGTACCTTAACTGTATATAGCGCACAATGATAACTTATTCAATGAAATCTCTGTTAATTGAATTTAAAAAGGGGTAATTAAGGCAGTTATACACTTCTTGATGAACCAGTGGTAATTATTACAACAGTGTGATTATATACAACACAATGTGCACCCTCAAAAAGTCAACGATTTTCCTGTGAATCTGCACACAGCTGGCTCGGCATAGTACTGTCTACCAAGGATTGTGTCGAGTTTAAACCCAAGTCTTATCAACATGGCTGAAATTTAGCGCAATATCTGCTTCATAAAACTGGCTTTCTTCCTCGGTAGAGACTTCTCGGGGCTCAACTTATCCAAGAGTTTATGAAATATCGTGTCCACATTGAGATTAAACTTAGCCGAGGTAGCCAGCCACAAACATTTCCACCTTCCCTCTAGATAAACGCAGGCACTAATTTTAAGCCCGTACGAATTATGAAAAGTTGGTTCAGAGAGGTTCGGCAGGTCTGATTTGTTCGACACAATGATGACAGGTATTTTCCGGTTTCTGTCCTCACAACACCTCGTAATTTCCTCCATGTATCTTTCCAGCTTCGTAAAAGAGTAAGGTTTGTCTAGAGAATACACCAATACAATAGCATCAGCTTTTTCAATCGCTATCCTTCGCATGGCTGGGAACTCGTACGTACCCGATGTATCAATGATGTGAAGCTCGTAAGCTTTGTTCCTGTGAGTCATTTGTTTCACGTAGAATTCCTCTACAGTTGGTTCATGCTCGGCATTGTAGTCATCGCTAACGAGAAGCCGTCGAACAATTGAACTTTTTCCAACTCCAGAATCGCCAAACACA